TGTCCCATATGCTATGGGAACCCCTTCTGCCCAGCCTGGGACTGGAACTGAAGGAGCAACCTGAACTGCAGCCCACCACCTCCATCACTTTGTTCTGGGCTCCAGCCACATGGGTCCAGGTCCTTGTGAGTTTCCAGGGATCACCTATGCCTCTGGATTCAGTGTTCTCAGACACCTGCTGCCCATGAGTCTCAGCCAGTCTCCGTCCCCACTCTTCTGGGGTAGGCTCATGACTACTTATGCAGAATGCCTCTCTCCAACACTCATCAGCTTCCCATCTACTCAATGTCCTTCCATGGCTCCTCCACACCCCGTCTTCCCTTCCTTCTCCTGCACCGTCCTGCATCCACGGCAGGCTCACACCTTTCATGAGCCCTTCTGTCCAGCTCACAGGGTCTACTAGGCACCACATCAACCCCTCCTGAGGTTTTAGGGAGCAGGTGCCTTGTTCAAGCCCTTACCTAGATTTGGAGTTTTAATTGGTCTTTGTCCCACACAGCAGTTCTTCCTGTTGTCTTTGCCTGTCTCCTTTTGGCCTTGTGTATTTCATTGTACTCACTTTTCAATTATCAATTTCTTTTTCATTCCGGTGCAAATACAGACAACAAAATCTTCACCATTCTAATAATTACCACAAGTATAACCTAGGCACAGGACCAGGCAGTGTTTTGTTCTGCTGTGCATACGGTCACTAGGAGTCAATACCAACTCGAAAACATCTAACAGTAACAATCCAGGAACGCTGATTGTGTGCTTCAAATTGCACACCCATTCTCACCCTCCTTTTCCAAATCACACTACTGCCACCCACTGCTTCCCACCCTGGGTCACCATGAATAATATTTGATTTCTGTTGCGTAAGTTTCTATCATTTGATTCCATTGCTGCTGAATGAATTCCAACTCATATCAGCTCTAAAGGAAAGAGTAGAACTGCCCAATAGGATTTCCAACGCTGCCATCTCCATGGAAACAGATGGCCACATCTTTCTTCCATGGAGCAGCTCGTGGGTCCCAACCAATGACTTTTTGGTAAGCAGTCAAATGCTTAGCCACTATTCCAGCAGAACTCCTTGGGTTTCTATCTTTTTGTTTATTTCCAATACGTAAGATCACACAATACTTGTCCCTTTGTGACTGACTTATTTTGCTTGGCATTCTGTTTTCTAAGTTCATCTATGTCATGGTGTACATCAAGACTTCATCTGTTTATGGCCAAGCAACATTTTTATCTACTGGTAGTGAAATTTGGTTGCTTTTTCCAAATCTTTGAGTCCTTGGATTGTGGACTCAGCTTCCTTCTGTCCCTGACCGGTTCCTTCCAGAGCTAATCTCTGCATTGTGCTAATTTGCAAATGGTGCCAACAGCACATGGCAGCCTTCATTGTTCTGTTCTCCTAGGAGCTCCCAGAGGAGTGCTGGTGGTGCAGTGGTCAAGCACTCAGATGCTAACCAAAAGGTTGTAACCCACCAGCCAGAAAGATGATGTTGTCTGCTTCACTGGAACCATATGGGGGGGAGGGTGGGTTTCTACTCTGTCCTTGAGAGTCACTGTGAGTTAGAATCAAATCAAGGGCAGGGAGTTTGTTTTCTTGCATTTCTAGAAACTGTCACCCAGGGATTTAGTGCAGGGAAGGAGCCAGTCACACTTAAGAAGTGTGGTGAATTAATTATTCCAGGTGGCCTTTCTAGCCACAGTTTTGTGACTCCCACACATTGATGGGGCAGGGTTATGCAAGCAGGGTATGTGCACCTCATCAAGGGGATTGGACAGTTTCCTGCTAATGCAAATGTGTGTGAAGTCTGTGATGGTTGAAGCTACGTGCCAACTTGGCTGGGGACTGACTTTCAGTGGCTTGGCCTCCGTTTTGGGGTCTGATGTAAGTGTCACCATTTTGTGATATGCCTCTATACCTGTGACTATAGTTCCCTTTGGTAGTGAGTTATCCATTAGGTTAATGAAGCAGGGTTAGGGTGGAATATATCTTGAATTACAACCTTACCAGAGAGTGTGACTCAAGTCACCAGCCTTCCCCCAGTTACCACCCTTACCATTTCTACTCAACTCATACCCTCACACTACTTTGCTCAAGAAAGAGGAGTTTCCTTGAGGTTGTGGTTTGCATCCAATACATATGAAGGTGCTGGCAAAGTTCTCCCTCTTACATTTGGCTTGTCATCACCTGACCTCTGGCTCTTAAGCCAGCAGTCAATCACCTGATCTGATTTGCCAGTTTCAGCTGCTTTGTGAGTCAGCAGCCAATTGTCTGACCTGCCAATTGGGGTTCATCAGCCTCTGTAGTCACATGAGTAAGGAGAAGCCCCCCTAGCCTGACACCCAACCTACAGATTAGGGACTTGCCAGCCTCCACAACCTTGTGAAGTATTTCCTCAATAATTCATGAATTCTGTGAGACATTGCAACAAATTACACAACACAGAGTCCGGAGGAAGCCTACTGACGGGAGAGAGAGGAGGGGTTGGTGTCAGAGACGGAGTGGTACACAGGATGGAAAAACTGGACATTTGGGGTATCGCTAACCGCCGCCTCAGAGAAACCAGCTTTGCGCTGATCCTTCTAAATGAGAGGATTCATGTAAAGACATTGCAATGACATGGTGAAGGTGGAAACAGTCAACGCGATTTATTGAAAACACTAGTACAATTATTCCTTTGGTACACAGGTTTAAAATCGTTTAAAATAATCTTTCCCGGGGCATTACACTTAAAATCGATGACATGTCTATTGGATTTATTTTTTGTTAAGGCAGGTACAATGTGGCACTTGACATTCTATTTTAAAGGGCCTGTAATCCTAGATCTTTACCATAGGTGTTTGTTCATTATCTTCTTTTTCTCTTCATCCACATTCATCCAATTTCATATATATATATAAAATGAAGAAAAAATAAAATTACACCAAAAGAATTTCTGCAAATATAAGAAGTAATTTTATTGCAAGATACCGTAGCTGAAGTGGCTTGGGGGATAACGGGACACGTTTTTGAACTTCAATACAGATCATAACAACTTTGGAGGGACCGACAGAGGAAGAAGATGGAGGGATAAAAGGGCAAATCCGGCGGAATGAGAAATCACACAGAATCACATGACCTAGACGGGCCCATGAGGTACCGCGAGAGTGCTGACCTCCTTCCCCTATGGCATTCCTTTTGAGGAGGTGGTAATGGGAGTCACGGGCAGAGTGGGTCCTGGGTCTTGAGGACCTTCAAGACTTTTCTTTGGCAAGAGCAAGACTTGTGTCTAAGGCAGTTCAAAGACTCATTTGGGGACTGTTTTGTTAGTCCTGGGCCGGGGGTTCCTAAGTGGTACCACGTCCATGGGTGGAGGAGAGGTCCTGTCCTATGTCCGAGTTACAGCTTGCCCCCGGGGGCTGTGTGGGGTTTGCCAGTCTCTTCCCACCTTGGCAGGAAAGAGCATTGCACGAGGGTGACTTTCACAGTTGGGGTTGCCTTTCCTTGCTGGCCCCTGAGGTCCTCCTGCTCACAGCAGGCAGCCTCCCCTTGATGGCAAAGGGCAAGAGTGGCATCCGGAGGGTGTCTCCCCAGCACCAAGCTCGGAAGCTGCTGGCACCCACGTCCAGAGCCCTGGTAGATGGAACAGGAACTGCTCATGTTGGGACAATGGGCAGCCAGCAGCCCAGCAGAATGGCTCGGAGTTCATCGCACCTCCCTCCATCAGCCCAGGCTCCGTCTGGGACAGCGCCGGACACCGGGACAGGTTCATTTCAGTTCTTGGAGCAAACGCAGGCAGCAGTTAGCACCACAAACATTCGGCACCTGAATACAATCTGCCATCGAGACACCGTAGACCACGCAGGAACTGTCTTCGTTTTCCGGGTGCCTACGTGTGTTTTCAGATCAAGGGAACACAACCCAATACTGTCACCAGCCTTCAGAGCGTGGCTCCCCATGCCTAAGGGGTAGGCGGTGATGTGCATTTATCTGAAAGTCTTGGCAGCATCTCAGACTGGGGAGCTGAGAAAGCTGGGAGGATGAACGGTAGTCAGGTCCCCAGAGTGTCACCTTCAAGGAGATCTTAAAACAGATAGCACCACAAAGAGAAGTGTCAACTCAGCACCAATTTTTACTTAATTACTATCTCAGGCCCCGCAGGAGGAAAAGTGAGACAGGAAGTGAGCAATATGAGTCCAAGTGCATGCAGGGAAGGCAAACTACAAAATCTGTTTGTTTGCTTTTTATCTTCCCCATGTGTGCACATATTGGTAAATCCAGAGCTAATCAAATGCTGTGCCTGAGGGCCCAGGCACCTGCTTCGTAAATGACAGTGTGGGTCCTGCCTGCCCTGGGCCCAGTTCCCACTGACCTCAAGGTCTTGGCCAAGGTGTGGGGTGAGAGGTCCCCACTGCTTCTTAGAATCTGTGCCTGCCCAACCCTGCTCCAGATTTTCCCAGGCTGTGGGCTGGAGGGGCTGGTGGCCAATTTTACATGCATGATTGAAAGTCAGGGACACGGAACATTGATAACAATACAATACAAATATTTACTTAAAACTCACAACAACGTAAGCACCTTTAATCCACCGGAAAGGCACGTGTGGAGTGACAGGAACTGGGAGGGAGGGGTTGGAGGTGACCTATACAAGGCTTGCCTCAGAACACTGAAGGTCATGGAGAGATACCTCTTCAAGTTGAATTTGAAAACATGATACCTACCCTCCGCCCCAACAAGCTAAGTGTTCTGTCCCTGTGGGGTGAGGGTGGGGGTCTGGAGAAGGAGGCACTTGGGGGGCCAATTGTAGCCCGAGGCTGCGGCATGTCTAGGTCATGTGATCTGGCTCCTTGGGGCGCGGTCCTCTCTTTCCCTTTGGTTCTCTTGGTCTGGGGTCTGGCACTGAGGTGCCGAGACATGGCTGCATTCGGGGTGGGGACGAGAAACCTTCGCGGTCCAGCATGGGACCGCGCACAGGACGCTCACAGGCAGCGTACTGAGGTCATGAGGTTGCTCACGTGGGGCGCCTGGCAGCTCCTAGCCCATGAAGCACGCCGGCCCCACTTCGAAGCCAAATTTCTGAGACGCTTCACCGAAGTCATTGAACATGATGTCCACAATGGGCACTTGTTCCACTTTGGGGGTATCAATCTCCAGCACCGTTTTCTGATAGCCTTTCCTCGTCTGGGGACAGGAAGAGACACAGATAGAGGTTAGGGACAGTGGGACCTCACCTGGCTCCGAAGAAATACAACCAGAGCTTGACCTGAGATCCTGGGGTAGTGGGAGGGAAAGTCTACAAGGAGACCACCAGGGACACCTTGTCACTCCCCTGCACACCCCAGAAAGCGGGCCATGGGCTGATCAGTTTGGTGAGTCACATTCCACACTGACCATCTCTCCCCTAGACCTCTGAGGACACTTCCTGCTTCAGTCTATTGCAGCCCACCAGTAGGAAGGATGAATGCAAGCAAGGGTGGAGCAACTTCAACTGGACCATCAGGAAAGACCAGCAGGAGGAAAGCGGCAATCCAGTTCTGCTTCTGACCAGCCACATGGCCACAGGGGAGACACTGAGCCTCTCAGGCCCACCCCCAGCTGCAGAATGGGGACTATGTGTAGTTACCCTTCTGGGAGCTGGGTGAGCTGCTGAAGATGACTACGTAAAGGGCTGGACTAGCATGGGGACATAAGAAGCACCCAACACATGTGAAACTGTTGTGACATCACTTCTGCTGTGACATCACTTCCTGAGAAGCCCGGGGTGTTCATGCCCTGGTGTGGTGGCCATGCTGTCCTAGTGCTGGTCTTGGGGAAGGTGTAATGCCACCTCTGAGAGAAGATGATAAGAGACTCCTAATCACTCAAGGCCATGCCGAAAGCAGACCTCTGCAGAGGACCACGCAGGGAGGAACTGATACTTCCAGCCAATAGGAGGACGCCATCTTGAACAGACCTCACTTCAATCACACCTCCAAATGCCAGCAACCCCAGCAGCCTCCTGAGAGACCCTGGGCCAGAGCCCTCAGCCAAGCTTCTCACAGACTTCTGACCCACAGAAACCCACTGAGATAGGGTTGCGGTTGTTTAGAGCATGCAGGAGCCCTTGGTGGGCAGTGCGAGCGGTTAACATGTTCAGATGCTCACTGAAAGGAAATTTAAGTCCACCTGGAGACACTTCAGAAAAGGGCCTGTAAATCTACGACTGAAAACTCACCCACTGAGAACCCTGTGAGCACAGTTCTACTCTGACACATGTGGGGGCACCATGAGTGGAATCTACTGATGAAAAATCACCCACTGAGAACCCCGTGGGGCACAGTTCTCCTCTGACACACACGGGGCACCATGAGTGGGATCTACTTATGAAAAATCATCCACTGAGAACCCTGTGGGGGACAGTTCTACTCTGACACATGTGGGGGCACCATGAGTGGGATCTACTTATGAAACATCATCCACTGAGAACCCTGTGGAGCTCAGTTTTACTCTGACACACATGGGGGTGCTATGAGTCAGGGTCAACTCAGTGGTAAGTGGTTTACTGGTTGATATACAGCCATGATAACCAGTGTGTCCTCTTCAAAGAGCCCAGGTGGCACAATGGCTGCTAACTAAAAGGTAGTGGTTTGAACCCACCTGGCGGTCTGCTCCTGTAAAGAAGACAGCCTAGAAACCCTACTGGCTGTTCGACTCTGTCATCCGGGATCCCTACTGAGTCAAGATCAACTCATCAGCACCTAACAGCAATATCAACACTCTCTTTGACTCCGTTTTCTCCACTGTAGAATGTGTATACTGACTTTCCAGAGGTGGGTGTGCAAACGCAGAGCAGAGTCTGCAAGTCAGAGCACCAAGAAGCAAGTCCCTATGATTGGCACTAGATGTCAGCACCCCTACTTCATCTCTGAGTTCCCTCTCATCCCCCATGTCCCTGCTCTGATGGATCATTGTGTCATGTGGAATTCATTCAAAGCCTGGATTTGAACTTCAGGATGAGTAAGAATCCTCTCAGGAGACAGTTGTGAGTTCACCCAGAGTTTCGCTTCACCAGGTTGAGGGTACGATTCAGAATTGGCCCTTTTCAAAGACAGTTGGAGTCTTTGACATGTGGGACTCGTGGGCCATTATTTATAAGTAACTGTCCCAAAGGACCAGCTTAGGGCAGCCAGGGAGCTGAAAGCAACCGGCAGGACAGCAAGGGGCAGTCACAAGTCCACTTCCAGGATCAATGAGGAAGGGGTGGCACACTGCCCTGAAGCTGCTGGAAAGGCAGTGGGGGCTGGAACGCTGACCTCTAAATGGTGGTCACCCTGCAGGCAGGAAGCCCAGGCCAGCAAAGAGGAGCCAGAGGCCACTTTACCCCAGTGAGGCTCCATCCCTCTGGGCCTCCCTGCAGATGACCACATGAGGCTTTGGCCTAGACTTCACTGGACCCAGGAGGGAAGAATCAACACCTCTGTTTTGGACTGAAATGTGTCCTCCCAAAACATAGGTCAACATGGCTAGGCCATGCCTTTTAGTATTGTGCATCTGTCCTTAATTCTGTGATCTGAACTAATCACCCTGCCCGCTATGGTGCTATGAGGCAGGATAAAGATGTATCTCTTTTGAGATATGTTCTTGTTAGGTACCATTGAGTTGGTTCCTACTCATAGAGACACCACGCAAAGCTGCGCCATCCTCACAGCTGTTAGACTTGAGCCTGTTGTTGCCGCTGTTGTGCCGATCCATCTCGTCGGGGGTCTTCCTCTTTTAAGCTGACCCATCACTTTCCCAAGGTTGTTGTCCTTCTCCAGGCATGGGTGCTTCTTGATAATATATCCAAAGTATGAGAAACAAAGTCCAGCTATCTTGGCTTCCAAGGAGCATACTGGTTGTACTTCTTCCAACACAAATTTGTTTGTTCTTCTGGCGGTCCATGAGACTTTCAATATTCTTCTCCAACACCATGACTCAAATGCATCCGTTCTTCTACGGTCTTCCTTATTCACTGCCCAACTTTCACATGCATGTGTGGCTACTGAAAATACCGTGGCCTGGGTCAGGCGCACCTTCGTCCTCAAGCTGACCTCTTTGCTCTTGAACACTTTAAAGTGGTCTTGTGTAGCAGATTTGCCTAGTGCAATATGTTGTTTGATATTTTGACTACTGCTTCCATGATTGTTGATTGCGGGTCCAAACAAAATGAAGTTTTGACAAGTTCAATCTTTTTTTTTGCCATTTATCATGATGTTACTTATCGTTTCAGGTATGAGGACTTTTGTTTTCTTTACATTGAGGTGCAACCCATACTGAAAACTGTAGTTTTTGATCTTCATCAGTAAGTATTTTAAACCCTCTTCGCTTTCAACAAGCAAGGTTGTATCATCAGCATATCACAGGTTGTTAATGAGTTTTCCTCGAATCCATATCTTCTTCATATAATTCGGCTTCTCAGGTCATGTACTCAGCATACAGACTAAATAAGTATGGTGAAAGAATAAAACCCTGACACACACCTTTCCTAATTTTAAACCGTTCAATGTTCCCTTGTTCTGTTCAAACAACTGCCTCATGGTCTATGCACAGGTTCCTCATGAGCACAATTTAGTGTTTTTGGAATACTCATACTTTGCAATGTTGTCCAGAGCTTGTCATGATCCACACCATCTAAAGCCTTTGCATAGCTAATAAAGCACAGGTACACATTTTTCTGGTATTCTCTACATTCAGCAAAGACCCATCTGATATCAGCAATGATATCCCTTGTTCCACCCTCCTCTTCTGAACCTCTGGAAGTTCTCTGTCAATGTAAGCTTGCAGCCATTTCTGAATTACCTTTAGTAAAACTTGACTCACATGTGATATCAACGATATTGTCCAATGATTTCTGCATTCTGTCAGATTTCTGCATTCTTTGGAATGGGCACAAATATGGATCTCTTCCAATCAGTTGGCCAGGTAACTGTCTTCCAATTTCTTGGCAGAGATGAGTGAGAGCCTCCAGTTTGTTGAAAGATTTCCATTTGTGTTCTGTCAATTCCTGGAGTTTTGTTTTTTCTCCAATGCCTTCAGTACAACTTGGACTTCTTCTTTCAATACCATTGGTTCTTGATCATATGCTACATCTTGAAATGGTTTAACCTTTTTTTTTTTGGTACAGTGACTCTGTGTACATTCCATCTTCTTTTGATGCTTTCTGCATCGTTCAATATTTCCCCCCATGTTGCTGTTGTTGTTAAGTGCCTCCTGGTCCACAGAGACCCTCTATAGGGTTTCCAAGGAGCAGCTGGTGAGCTTAACCACTAACCTTGTAGTTCAAACTGACACTGAAGTCTAGTGCATTAACCCACAGCGCCACACCAGGACTCCTTTAGAATCCTTCAATATTGCAAGTAGAATTTTGCATTTTTTCTTCAGTATTTCTTTCAGCTTGAGAAATACTGAGGGTGTTCTTCCCTTTAGGTTTTCCAACTCCAGGCCTTTAAAATACATTATTTTTGTTGTTGTTAAGTGCC